TTGGAAACAAAGTCCAGTTTTTTATTGTTTTTAACTTTTTAGTAATATTATAATGGTCATTATGGGGAAACGCTGTAAGACTCCGAGGTTTAAGTTTGATGCCAGATACAGAAAACCTGGTTGATCATTTTAACCCTGTGAACCAACAGGCATGCAGCAGATTTCCCTTTTATCAGACATATGATGTCATCACATCATTACGACGCTCGAGTGACACGATCTGAACTTCAGATCCAGCCTGGACGCCATCAGCTGACAGCCGAGCTGATGGCGAATTAATTGGACCGGGTGGGAGTTTCTCTATTCTATTTCTTCTTCTTTATTCAATTCAATAATGTCAATTCAAAACATTTTCTGGGCGTGCGACCCACGTACGAAGGCCTCAGGCCTCGACGCGGCCGACCCAGGTTCGAATCCGACCTGTGGTCCTTTTGCCGCGTGTTTCTCTCCCCCCTCATTCCCCCTTTCCTCAGCCTGCTGTCAGACAAACGAGCCACTAGCGCCATAAAAAAAAAAAATTACAATCATTTTATTTCAGCACTGTTGTTTTATTTTAGACTGAATAAGTAGAGCTGCTTTAAAGAAGATGCACCCGTCAGTTGCTCTGATATTTTTGTATTTTTTACTAATAAACCTGTTAGAACCTGTTAGTTTTTGGATCTCAGCCTAATGTTAGATAAGACCTAATGGTGCAGTGTAATCTGCGGTTTGCTACACATCAGATTAAAATGAAATAAGAGTGCGTAAAAAGAGCAGATCATTTGCATCTTAAAACTCAAAGATCAGGTTTGGTCCAGAGCTCCTCGCCTGCAGAGGGCTGCATCTTAGCTAACCCCTCTGAACAATCTCCCCATCTGCACGCAGGCTCATATCAGGACACCACTTCCACCTCGACACACGCAAACCCGTCTGAGAGCTTCTGGTAACAACAGACCACTGATCCTCACCATCAATCATTTCACTCTGAAACATCTCAGTAATCCTACAGATGTACGCCTCCCTCCGTCGCTCAGGGGTTAAAGAAGCGTCCATTTTCAGGTTTTTTAGAAAAGTCATTGACGTGCCACAGAGATAATTTCCAGCTCTGATTTGAGAAGCAAACCTCCCCCTCAGCCTGAGTCTGGGTTTGTTCATTCAGAGACTGGCTGTGCGTGACTACCAGAGGGTTTACTCTGCTCCCCTCCTCGCTTCTCTTCTCCTCCCACTACTTTCCTCCATCAAAGTGTTGGTTTTGATCAGAGAGACTGAAACTTTCGTGAGAGGAAGCAATGAAGCATTTAAAGAAATCTCAGTCTGGTGACTAAGAAATCCTCTCAGAATTTAGTGCTTTAATCCAGAATAAAATAAATATCTGCAGATGTTTCATAATATATGCAAAGATAGGAATCTAAATATCTTGTCCTAATTGTTCAGAAGTGGCTCATTGACCTTTGCAGAAAACATTGGTTGAAATGTGAAAAAGGATGGTTTGAAACCTTTAACTGGTTCATTTTCTGCTTTTAGTTTAGCAGTCAGTCAAAACATTTCCCCTGGTTAACCACTGATTTATCCTCCCCCCCACACCATGCAGCGTGTTCTAGTGTTAGATACGTAGGGGGAAAACTAAAACCTCTGAGATTTGTCATGAGTCACTGTGGTACATGCAAGGCTAACATGCAGAAAGCATGCATGCACGTAAACGCAGCCTCTACTTTGTTTTAGACGAGGAAAAAAACGATTTATACTGGAAATGTTTTTAAAGCTCTTCCAAACTGGTGTTTTCTTTATTTACAGCCTGCTGAATATAAAGTTTCCAGTTTTTGCATAAAGATGATAGGAAGTAAACACAAACAGCTGCTTTTAATAATTAATTTATTGGAAACAGGAAATAAATTCTACTCTTTGCTCTAAGATGATTCATGATAACAGATAATAAGTCTTAGATGGTTGGAAAAGGTGGTTTTCTAAATAGATCAAAAGTTTGATCTATTTGACTAACTTGTTTGCTTCAGATCAGTTTTCCTGCTGCATCATTTACTTCTACTCCTAAACTATTGGCCGCTTATATCTTCTCTTTAAATGATGTGTTGGGGATGAGACGTAACATTATTAACATCATAGATTCCTCCCAAATTAAAGTACAGCCATGGCCAAAAGTTAAGAATGATTCTAATGTTAATATTTACAAAGTCTACTGCTTCAGTTTTTATAACGGCAATCTGCATACGGGTCTTTTGCAGTCACGTGACCTCGACACAAGGAGGCGCCATGTTGGGGGGGTAACCTGCCTAATCGCTGCCTAAATGAAGTTAACTTGAGTTCAAGTATTGAGAGT